AGTCCAAAACCGAATCAATTGACTGATATTGTATTGTTCGGTTAAATTGGACTTTTTAGTTTAAATCGAAAATTGAACATTTACTCAATGTATACGTTCAATTTTAAATTTTTAATTGAACATTTACTCAATATATACGTTCAATTTTAATCGTCCTATTTTATAATTTAATATGTTCAAAAATTAATTTTATTTTAAAATGTTTTTATTTTTTAAAATTTACTCTTATTTAAAAAAAAAAGTTACGACACATGTTCAATAACTTCTTTTTTTTTAACATCGAGGAATTATCAACAAATAAGGGATTTTTTTAAATAGTTAGCAGGAGTCGAATTTTTTATCAACTGAAACTAAACACAAACACTTAAAGACGAATCACTGGATTTAAAAGTCTAATTTATGTTCAATAACTTATTTAAATATCGATTAATTAAGAATATATATAAAATTTTATCAATTAATTATATATCATATTTTACTAAAAAGATAAACAAGTCTTTTGTCAGGGGAAAAAAAAAAGGTCAACTCTAATTGGATGGATAGAGTTTTACAAACTGCAGTGCTGTAGCTGTTAGCACATTATATAGGCTTACAATTAAGTTTAGATATGGATTGTCTTCAAAATTTTCATCTGAAACTTATTTATTTACAAGAACTATTGTAGAGGGTAATTTGACTGCATGTTAGGGGGGATTTGGAAGATAGTACTGGTAATTGGTAGCTAGCAGGCCAAACCTTGAGTACATCTGATACCAGAAAATTAAGTCGTATTACGAAAGTAAGGTTTGAACTAATCACATAAGTATTGAACATGGATGACAGTTTGGAGGATGGACAGAAGTTCATGAAGGGCTAACCTGTGCAACAGTCAGAGGAGATCATGAAGTTCTATTTTCAACAGTCAGAAGAGCTTGTCAGTAAAGTTTGAACTAATCACATATAGATTGAACATGTTACCATATCTGAATATTTTTGTCACTTTCAATTTGGATTGTTAATGAACTAAACAAACTTGTTCTAACCCAAAGTTGGGAACACAAACTTCATTAAAAAGAAGAAAAATGAAGTTAAAAAGAAAGTTGAAAGTAGAAATGAGCATTTTTGCACGGTTTGTACACAAAATTGAAACTCATCTAAGATGACAGTAAAGGAAATTATCACTGCTTTAATCATTCACTAAGACCTTGAGGCATTCCTAAGCTTTGAGCAAGGTCACTCATCCTTTCCTTCATTGCCTGAAAATTTAAAAACAGTTTTTTCAGTAAAAGAAGGGAATATATATATATATATATATATATTTATTATAACTTGTAAAAATGAAACAAAAGGTTTTGCTAACTTAATTCATAAAGGCAAAAGGAAGAGCCTCACCTGGACACTTTTCTGGTGTGCATCCTTGTATGCCTCATTAACTAACAAAGAAAGTTTCTGCATTAAAAGGATTTTGGAAATCAAGATATCATTTCCGGGAAAACAAGAAAACTAGTTAACAATTTTAGGGCCATTGAATAATTATTGACCAAAATCATTTTCTTGTATTTGGAGATGATTGTGAACTCAATGAATAATTGTCAACTAACCTCTGCACCTAATTCCATTGCTGCCTCAGTGATCTCTATGCGCACAGGTTGTTGGTTTCCAGACAGTGTTGCCTGAAAAATAACTTTTCTTAGATTCAAGGAGATGAAAATTTTTGAGACATGAAGTTCAACACAATCTGGAGATGGAATCATTCCATCCTATATGGAGTAGAACTGTTCTCTATTCCCTTCATTTCAAAACAATTTAATCCATATCTCAAATAGAGAATTTGAACGTATATATCTAATAACATTTCAAATGATTTTGGTCAATAAAGGGAGTGATTCACAATAACCCCCATAATTTTCCGTAATACATACAACAATACAATAGTAAATATCTAGAGTAGAACCTCAAAAAATCCACCTAGAGAGAGAGAGAGAGAGAGAGAGCATCATAACATACCTTTATCAGCTCACCCTCACAGTAACCATCAAACTCTGCCCTGTTACACAGAATGAGAAACAAAATAAATTTCATAAACTAATAAAGGAACTGACAATTCAGATAATGACAGGTTTAATTTCTATTCCATACGCAGCAAGTTCCTTTTGGACACGCACAGCCTCAACCTGGACAACCATTTGTGCTTTTTTCACAGTCTCATATAAATTCTGCATGTTCCCTAGAATTCCAGCCTGCAATCCATTAATAGGAAGGAAGTGTAAGCTTTCAAAAGGTGAAATAATCAGGAGACTATAAAGCAAACAGATTGACAGCCACAAGGATTTTATCAAGGCTGATTCTTTTCCAGTATACGGATAGAAAAAGAACAGCTAAGCTTCAATGTCCTGATTAGCAATTGACAAAATCACAGGATTAACAAAAGTACT